CCGCCACAACCTGCCACTTTGCCTGCAACAATGTTCTTGTACTCCTTGTTTTCACTCTATATTTTATTTGTATTTGTGCCGACTGCAGTGTGTGCGCACGTATGTGTGTGTGTGTGTGTGTGTGTGGGTGTTGGGTGAGGGCGGGGGGGTACAGGTGAAGACGCTTTTGACAGGCTCCTCAGAGCACAGCCATCTGTTTGCCTTTGTGCGATTGTGTGCTTGTGCCCATACGTACGGCCGTGTATGGACTTGTGTGTTAAAGGTACATTCTGTACATTTCACACTTGCAGAATTTTAATGATATCCCATACAGGCTGACAGTTCTTAGCCCGAGGCTGTAAAACACTCAACCCCTCCCTCACACCTGCACATGCACTCACACGTTCACGCACACACGCACGCATGCGCACGCTGTCCGTTTAACCTGCCGGGTTGCCTTTTGTCAGCAAGGTGACGGGAGGATAAATCAGCATACATTAACTCCAATTGAAACAACAGCCTTTTATTATGCAAATGAGGTGGGGAATTTACATGGAAGGGAGACACCCCGTGCGTGTGCGCGCGCGCGACAACTCTCATAAGGCTGGCATTTTCGTTTGAGTGCGGCTAAACCGGACACTTCATTAGGTACATCGGCTCCCGGAATATATGTAGGAGGTTGCGCCGACTGCAAAACGTCACACTCAGAGCTGTTCCTAATGTTTCGGTGCCGCAGCCTTTTATTGCCGCTTGTCTCATTTTTATGTTTGCGTCGTGCGTTGTGCAGCCACCCCGGAAGCCGTTAACCTCCCAAACGCAATCGCTCATCACAGCGCACAGCGCGGCACCCAGGAGCCTCCGTGGAAGGAATCCGTGTCTCCTTTGCGCTCCCGTACCCTGACTTTGTGTTTCTTTGCCATTATTTTTCCTTTTTTCGCCGACGCCTTCTCTTCTCCTCGTCTCTTGATGCCACTTTCTAATCTCTCCTCCACTTCTTCCTCCTCCTCCTCGTCCTCTGTTTGAAGATAATGCTCCCCCCGCGGCCCGCAGATGCTAACTGTACTTTTCCTCAACGAGGATTCCACCTTAAAGCTTTAAAGAAGACGAGTGTGCTTATCGCTGCTTAATGGCGGCTAATGGCGGTCATGAGTCAGGCTGACAGCAGGCTGGGACAACAATGAGATACCAACACTGGCGCTTGCAGGCCTCTCTGTCGTTATTTAGCCGTAAAACTTCACATAAGTTAACTTAAGTCATTTACAAGAAACTAGCAGTAGGCCGCTCCAGTTGTTAGCTAGCTGGCTACTTCCTGGTTCTTGGAAAGCGGCCATTGGAGTCGACTGACAGGGATTTACCATCTCAAAAAATGAAGACAGACAAAAACAAAGCGCTGTTTTTGTTGGTTGAGGGACTGTTTGGTAGTATTTCTGATTTGGGGAATGGGAGGGAGGCTTTTTTTGTGACGCAAATTTGTGACAGCAGTAGAACAAAAGGTGTAGCAGTCGTTTGACTGACTTGACTTGATTTGACTCAACTGACTTTGCTTGACTCAACTGATTTGACTTGACCGACCAACTGGCTGATCGAAGTACACAACAGGAAATAAGTTCCACTATGGGAAGAATCACTTTCATTTTCCATCTGTAATGACACAGAGCGCCCATGGCCGGCTTCTATTGACTCGATCACATCCACAGAGAGCTGCTCCACTGGGCTCATCGTCTCCTTCCCTCTGGCTCAACACTGTGCGTGCGTGTGTATGAATGATATTATGATTTGTGCTATTTTTAGCTTGGTTTTTAGTAGGTTGTCGCTTGGCCCGTGCCGCTTTGTGCATACACGCGCGTGCGTCTTTGCGAGCGTGTGGGACGGCTGACTAATACGGTTGCAAGGACGGGGAGGCCGCTAGGGCTCGGAGCACTGTGCGTTTGTGTGAGCGCGTGCGTGCGTGTCAATGGGTGAGTGATGGTTGGCCTGGCAGCGGATGGCAGCTAACATATGTTTCGACCCCATCAGCACACCACCGAGTAAGTGTTACTCTAACAGGAAGTGCAACCCGAATACACACATATTATCTTCACTTTACTGCGTGGAGTCTTATCTAATTCGCACATTTGTTCCCTTACTCACTACATCAACATGAGAGAGAGGAAAGGAGAAGCGGCAATAAAACAGGCCAAAATCCATGCTCACTTATGTCCTTGCCTACTCGCTTCCTCCGTTACCCCCTCACTTACTCCATTGCTTGTTCCTGCTCTAGCGCTGTCTGCCTTTCATGACTTCACTCCCTCATTCACTGCGATGCTCCTCCATCTCGCATCCCACCAGCTGCCTTCCTCACTGCCTTGGTTCAAGATCCCTTGCCTGATCCACTTCCCTCATACTTATACTCGCTCGCGCTCCACCTCCTACCATCCATACTTCCTTGTCTCCTCCTTTGCTCCTTTCCTCCCCTCTTTTTCCTCCTCCCTGTCAAGCTTTGACCCACTTTGGTGGTGGATGCTTTGGGGGCTTTGTGTCTTTCACGTAAACTCATTTGCTGTGGATCATTTACAGAGCAATGCCGTTTCTCTGCACACAGCAACCTTCGTCTTTTTATACACTCAGTGTGTGTGTGTGTGTGTGTGTGTGTGTGTGTGTGTGTGTGTGTGTGTGTGTGTGTGTGTGTGAGAGTGTGTGCGGGTGTGTGTAATCTGTTAAATGGGCAGAGACATACGGACGCGGGGGACAAACACAAAATGACGGGCACTGGTAGGCAGATTAAAATACAAAGGTCACACTCGCCTGCTTTTTGTGTGTGTGTGTGCGTGTGTGTGTGTGTGTGTGTGTGTGTGTGTGTGTGTGTGTGTGTGTGTGTGTGTGTGTGTGTGTGTAATCAAGAGAGGAATATAATACTTGGTTTCAACAAAATCGGCCGCCAATAGAATAGGAAAGTTTCACTTGGCAAAATGTGCCGACTTTAGAGTGCCTCGTTGTCAGCTGTGAGTGTGCGCACCTCATGCAGAGAAAGACGGAACAGCGAAGGGAATGGGGGCGTAATGAAAAACGGCTGGGTGATATAACAAAAATAAATAAATAAAAATAATTGCCCTGAAATTCATTGTGAGCATTAATCGCAATCCCATTTTCAAAATCAATTGGCATTGTTCTCTGACCGACAAACTGCCTGAGTAGAAAAAAAAAAATCAGTTTTTTTTTTTTTTTTTTTTCCATGAGTTCAGCTATGTCATCTTGGTTTCTGCGGGGAGTCGAAAGCCTTGCCACCGCACAAGACTCCCTCCCTTTCGGTGACAGAACGTGGTCTCAACATGAATAATTCATGCAGGGTGAGGTCAAAGGATGCGCCGGGGGGCCTGAGGAGCTGGCGGTGGGCGGTCATGGTAGCTTAACCTCGTGTTTTCCGGAGACCATCGCGGGTCAAGTCCCCGGGAAGCGAACATGTCACGTCTTCCGTGAGCCGCGTCGAATCGGAAGCCAATGACGAGAGCGCAAGCCAAAAGCCAGGCGAAGGTGCGCCGGAGCTAATTGTCGGAGCTGCGCTAATGTCACGTCTTCATCCACTCGGCGCAAAATTATTCATCATCTCAGCGTTAATTATTGACTTCTTCGATGTGCTTTGAGTGCGTCGTCTTCTTCTGTGGTGTAATTGTGTTGTCTCCTTCTTTGGGCGTCTTGCATTCTTTTGTCCTTTGAATTACTTTCTTTTGGATTTGAATGTGGCGCACCACTGTGTTCTTTGTTTGTAATTCATTCTTTGCTTCTTGGTGTGTGTGTTTTTTTTGATTTTTTTTGTGGTTTCAATTTGTTTAAATCTTCTTTTCTTTGTTGGTGTGATTGTCTTCTTCTTTGAGCAGCGTGTGTTCTGTGGAATTTAATTTTTTTTTCTTCTCGTTTGAATTGATGTCGCTGACTTCTGTGCGGGCAACGTGGGATCGGTTCCCACTTGGTGATGGTGTGGGTGTGAATGGTCGTTTGTCTCTATATGTGCCCTGCGACTGACTGGCGACCAATTCAGGGTGCAGTCTGCATGATTTTGATTCATTGTCTTCTTCCGTGCCTCGATTTCATTTTCTTCCAGGAAAACAAATGTAACCTCTGTGTGTTGGTCCAAAGTTGAAGCGTCAACAAAGCTTCAAATCATCTTTAGTGCCACAGAGCCGCTTGTATTACCTTTTTTTTTTTTTAATGGCCCTGCCTCCTCCTCCTCTTCTTCCTCTTCAAGTGGCCTACTGAAAGGAATAAAGAAGCTTTTAGCCTCCAAAATCTCCCGCTTTATGCATCGTAATTGCCGACTGATTGCAGTCATTTCCATGCCCTCGTCACTTTGGAAGTCTTTTGGAGGCTTGGGAGGGGTGATTACGTGTGTACGTTTGCGTGTGTGTGTGTGTGTGTGTGTGTGTGTGTGTGTGTGTGTGTGTGTGTGTGTGTGTGTGTGTGTGTGTGTGTGTGTGTGTGTGTGTGTGTGCTGGGTGGGGGGGAGGAGTCCTTGTTTGTGGTGTTTATGGATTTGTTATTTCTTTGCATGCACTCATCAGTATCAGTGAGTCAATTTGTCGGTAAATGGGAGCAGCCATGCTTATGCGGATGCTTTTGAGTCACACCGGGGTGTGTACGTTCGTGTGTGTGAGTGTTCTTTGAGAAAAGGGGTGTTTTTGTCAGGAAAGGCCATTTTTCCATGCGCGCAAATGAGCAGCGAGACGACGCTGGAAGGCACAAAAGTGCCCGCGCCCGCGCGCGTGGGTTTAGAGTAAAGTCTGAAGGATGAGCGAGGGATCAAAGCATGAAGGAAGGTTGGAAGGCCGCAAGGTAGGAGGAGGACTAAGTGTCACAGGAAGGGGAATGAAGATGTCGCTTCCATCTCCTTTTCCTGCACTTTATCTTCCTCCCCCTCTTCCTGATTTTCCCCTTACCCATTATCCTCTTCACCTTCTTCTATCTATCTATCCATCCATCCATCCATCCGGCTGGCTGGCTAGCTAGCAGGCTAGCTAGCTCGCTTCAGTGACAGTCTGGAAGGCTTAATCCCCCCACGCCCCCCCCCCCTCCAAACATTTCAGAGAGTGTTCCAAACGTCCTTTTGTATTGAACATTTTATCGGAAGTCAGACGGTGACTCGGTTTAACATCACAGCAGTTGTTGAAACAATCAGTGCGCTTCTGCTTGGAGCGCAGTGCCACCTGCTGGTGAGGCACGGGAAACCAAAGAGGACGTTTCATGTTCAATTCTTTGTTTTTGTTCAGCTTGGTGTCATCTCGAGTGCTTGGGAGAAAGAAATGGGTGTCACCTTGAAACGTTCCGCTTTGTGCACAGGGAAAATAGAAACCTCGCTACATGTTTTATATGCGTGTTTATGAGCAAGACAGAGTTCAAGGGGGACGAAAATGTGATCATGGCCACTTTTTTGCTTTTTAAAACGTGACTGTTTTGGAGAAAATACTCACGCATGTCAAAAGAGCACAATACGTGCAGTGAAGTGTTGAAATTATGGACACCCTCCCCCGTTCAAAAAAAAAACTTCACTTCAAGTGTTCTACTTTTTCATTCTGAAGTTCAAAAACCTTTCAGATCATAATCCTTTTTACTCTATTTTCTTCACTTCTTATATTTAATAAATTATTAGCCTTTTTTTATATTTTTGAACACATATACAATGCAGGTGCCTGTTCACCAATTTTAATGTGGTAGAAAGCGATTTTTTTTAGACAAAATGAACTTTTCACAAATTCATACTTCCTTTATATAATGAAAATCCTTTTGTTGGCTTTCACCTTTTGAATAGGGATCGTCCTGCACAGAGCAAAAAAATCCATGAATGATTGACGCCCATTTGAAATGAAGCGGAGAATTAAAATGCAAGGCTGCTTGAACCAACTCTTTCAGTCTCCGATTAGCTCTGACGCAAGAGCATTATGCTGATTTTGTGTCATGTGTCGCCTCCTAGAGAAGGAACGTCTCATGGCGCCAGGGCCGTCGACCGGCGCGGTGATCGGCGGCCTCCTCGGCGCCCTCGCCATCATCGGCGTCGTGGTGGGCCTCGTTTTCTTTGTCCGCAGACGCCAGCGTGACGCCGAGTGAGTCCTCGGCCGATCAGATTGATTATTGATCATTCATGCGACGAATTGATTGTACAGCTCTGACTGTGTTTGTTTCAATGACCGTATTTGGTTTCGTCATTTTAATATGAATGCGTGTCGTCCAATCAGCGGACCCCCAAAGCACAAGCCCCCGCCCCCTGTCAAGAGCGGCGGCTCAACAGAGCTGGTGAGTCAAAATCAGTAAATCTATCGATCTACTGTCTCTTGTATTGATTAGCACTTGTGGACTCCGTTCGCTGCACGGGAAATTATCCAATTTCGATTAATTGGTTTGGAAATGACCATTTACTTACACTCACGATAAAAAGTGACAGACAGAACAATTCAATACTCTTCCGCTAGATGGCAGAATGTCCACAATCAACCTGTGTCGAGTATCCATTTGTTAGCATTCATGCAATATGCAAAGCATGAGTAAGCTAAATGAATGGGTAAACTGAGATTTATTTCAGTATACAGTATATACATGCATATACAGTAGCAACATTTTTTTTGTCTGTTTCAATGCTTGGGCGCAGCTCAACAAGCCGTCAGAGGTGCCCGGCGCCACCGAGATGGCGCCGCTCGCCCCAGCGGGAGACATCTACTACGAGCCAACGGGAAGCGAGCCTGTCAGGGTAACGCGCGCACCTTGTTTTCCATTAAAGTATGACTGTAGTTTTGCAAAGCTGCAATATTTTGAAGTGGGGAATTCAATTTTATTTAAAAAATAAAAATAAAAAATTCTGGTCAGCAAAAAAATAAAATAAAATGAATCACATTACTATTACAATGTTTAATTATTCTTGCCTTTTCTTTAAAAAAAAATAAGAAAAAAATAGTTAAATTATTCTCAGATTTATTTTTTTCCAGAAAATATACAATTAAATCAGGTATGAATTTATCTTTATAAACGGGAAAAAAATACTGAATGACTTTTTCAGCTGTGACTCTTGCAAGAGCATGATTTAAGAATGACTTTTTTCTACAAAATATACAACTTTACTCTCGTTCAATTAGCCCAAACTTTAATGAGCAAAAAAGAATTAATAAAATCACTTAAGATTACGACTTTCTTGAATAAAAAAAGTTGAAATCCCCTTCCAAAAAATTCTGCAAAAAATAGTTCCTGTAGGATTGCATCTTTCACAAAAAAATGAAACATGACTTCATATTAGTTTTATTTTCTGAGTAACTTTTGTGATGCCTTTTCTTTTGCAGAACTCGAACAGTGAAACTCCCGGCACGCCGAATGGCGGCGGACTTCCACTGCCGGACGAAATGAACCTGAATCTGGACCCGGACCTGGACCTGGTCTCGACCAATCACGAGTCTCCGCCGGTCACCAACATCGCTCGTGGCGAGAGCTTTGTGTCGCCCGCCATGTACGTGTAAGCGTGGCTGGCCACTGGGGGAGCCCCTGCTGTGACTTATTTTTTTAACACGTTTAACCAACATCCTTTTTTATGTTGCACAGTCTCACTGACGAGGATAAGAGGACAGTGTGGCTTAAAGCAGCTGATTGGCTACTTGTAGGGCTGCTTAATCTGACCTTAAATTACTGTACCTCGTTTTTTTTCCCCCACAAAAATACGATTATCTCATTTTAATCACCACCGCCCCTCCCCCTTTTGCTTCTAGAAAAAGCAAATAACAATGGCCAAACAAGCTCGAAAACAGTTTTTTTCCCCTTTAGATTAACTTGCATCACCTTCTAAATCAATGAGACAAACACGTGTCTTTTTCTTTTCAAGTAATGTGGAAATAAGTGCTGGTCCCTTTTGTCGAAAGTTTGTCAGCACTAATTGTGCTTTTGTAAACTAGCTTCTCTCACTTCGCAGCCATGTTGTTCGTGTAAGCAATGCATGTCAATGGAACTATATAAATCATACACACACACATACATATATATATATATATATATATATACATACATATACCTTTTTATATCAATTGTCTCATATTCATTATAAATACTGCATTTCTTGAATATATTTAATGAGTTGATCAAAATCCAAAACAAGAACAGACCGTTATATTACTATAATATATATATATATAATTAGAGGTGAGCATCAAATCAATTAATTACCCAGCCCTAAATGCTCGCTCACCTCTCCCATGAGCTTCTTTCATGGGAAAAATCATCCATTCCCAACTCTGAAAAAAAACAAAACAGTCTGCTCTCATTGTTTTTCTGTTTTGTTGTGGGGGGTTTTAAACACACACACACACACACACACACACACACACACACACACACACACACACACAAGCACATTCAGGTGTCCATCAGAAGGAATGTAACACAAATGTGCACGTGAAGTTAATCCCCCTCCATCGTTGACTGAGATCTTGAAACGCTGAATTTACACCGTGCAAATAAAGTCGGTGTGCCGCCATCTAGTGGTACATATAGAATTACACCAGATGTAAACAACGGTTTCACCAAAATTAGTTAGTAACCGTGCAAAAAATAATAATAATACAGCGATGGAGGGGGGTTTCTAAACACACACCGGACACTTCATTCGTCACACACTTCATTCTGAATTGTCATAATTAACAGTCATGCTGACTTTTAATGCTATTTGCATAATAATATGTGAACTGTCCTTAATATTTGAGGCTCTCAGATATTTGTTTTAAAGGTATGGAAAGCACATGCGCAGCAAGCACACGACTAATCATCTTTTCTTATTCATTTTTTTTCTTTATTTTCTTTTTTTTAATAACAATTGTTGCTGAAACGAGAGCATTATGTAAAGACATGCAAAGCTCTCATTGGAACGTGTCCCTAATGAAGTGTCTGGTGAGCATTTGAGGGGAAAATACTGCCATTACCGTGGATGTCAATGTTGTACAGTACCAAAATGATCAACAATGTAAATACTACTGCTCATATTAATGATGATGAATGATAATTATTTTGGTGATCCATAATTATTGGTGTTTAAAAAAAAAAAAAAAAAAAAACGACAGTGGTCCACAGTGCCTCTGCAGAGGGTGTGCAGGTGTGTGTTTTACTTTTTAATGAAAACGTCACAGAACAGCCAAAGGATGCTGACGACGCAAGAAAATATGAAAAATAATGCTCCTAATAATGAAATATGTGGACTTGAATCATGTAACTGTGCATGGCATGAGGACCAGTTTGTTCCTTCCCAAAGCTCTTTGACTGCAGCGTCATTATTTTTATAATATTCATCATCAAGTCCGATTGAAGATCAAAAAGGGATTTTTTTTTTCAGCATTAGGTTTTGTATTTTTTGTTTTGATTTATTTTTATTGTTTTTTTTTTTTTTTACCCACAGTACTCGTACAAACAGTCACTAGTTAAACTACAGACAAACTGCTGATTCAAATGTAATGTGCTCACTTTTCAAGGGTGTTTGTGCTGATTGTGGTAACAATCATGTTTGTTGGTTTTGCTGCATGCTATGTGAAACACTCCACTTAAAGGGATTTCTTTCAAAGACACACACACAAAAAAAAAAAAAAAGAAAGGGGACAGTGTGTGCATGTTTGAATTCATCTGCACTTGACTGGTTCCAAAACGGCAACAAGAATTCACACTGATAAGGGAAAGCCAAAAATATCGTACAAAAAATTGTACCTGATCTCTGTATTTACTGGAAACAAATCAGCTTATTTTTCCAAACGAACAAATCATGCCCAAAAATGTGCATGACTAATCGCTTTCAGTAGGCGTAAAATGCGGGATGTTCGAGGATTGAGGCATTCGGTCTCTTTCTAATCTTGTCGGCAAAAAGAGGCTTATCTTCCTCTTTTCTTATTTCAAATGTATGTTTTGTATATATATATTTTTAATTGAGTTATAACTGGAAAAAAAAACAAATCAAAGATATATCGCAACCACAAACCTGGAACACGCTGTTTCAGTCAAAATGTTACAAAATTAAAACATTGAAGTCTCTTTTTTTTGGGGGGGGGGTATGTTCTAATACTTACAAAAATAAAATTTTTAGATTCACAGAATAAATTCTTTTTTGGTGGGGGGAAGAAGTCATTCCAAAGATGCCGCAGGTGTCTTGATTATGGCTTAACGATTTTTGAAAAATAATCTAATTGGGATCCCCCCCCCCAATATTGTGATTGCGATTTTATGTGCGATTACTTTTTCATGGTCCTCTTCTCATTTATTTATTTTTTTTAACAAAACATGCAAGTCCGATTCCAACAATAATGCAAATTAATCTGTAGCTTTACCACCTCAAGTTTTCATGTTTAAGCTAAACATGTGGACTGCACAAATTAAACACCGAACTTATCTCGACACAATATAAATAAATAAAATATAGATACATATTTAAAAAATAAATTCAGCCAATCAACCGACTGCATTTTTTTCCTCCAAAAATTGCATTTTACTACCTTGCCACGCCAATTTGAAGCTCTCTTGACATCACCCAAAGGATAAATTGTTAGCTGTTAGCGACCCCCCCTAAACAGCTGTTCGTCACAGAGTCACACGTGCCTTGTTTGCTTTTTATTATTATTATTATTATTATTGTTGTTTTTATTTTTATTTTTTTTCCAGTCCTCACCACCAACCCACAATGACCTCGACTGTCACACTGGAGTTCTCTTTCGGATTTTTTGTTTGTTTTTTTTTTTTTTTTTGTCATGCGTTTTGTTTTGTACGCTTTTGGGAGGGGAGAAATGTTCACGGACATGTTTTACAAATCGTTGTCTTGTCAAATAAAAACAGAAAGCTAATCCACAAGTGTCTCGGTTTGCTGATTATGACATGACATGCCTGGCAGCCACGGGAATTGAGTTCAAAGACCCAAGGAGAATATCAAAACAAATGTGCTAACAATGTACGGCGGCTGCTTGCTAATAAATTACAGAATGTTTCTGCGTGGCTACCAATGCTAATGATGGCTAACAGCAGTATAAACTCCATTGAGAGAATGCACCGGCGCATGATTTAGCTTGGATGCCTGCTTTTGAGATTCAGTGTTTAAATCAATGGTGTTAGCATCAGGCCTTCCGCTGCCTAGCTTGACAAGAACAGATGCCATTTGGAGAAACTCCACCAAGGCTAGCTTAACTTTTACTTGGTGATGGGCAGTTAGATGATGACACAGCATCTCTAACTGCTGCTGAAATGGTTATCGGGACAGAAAAACTTTTCCAAGGGTGCTCCAATGTCGCCATGAGCAATACTGCTAGCAGAAAGCCTTTGTATTTGGGTACTTTAGTCTTGATTGCTAAATAAAAACAAACCCATTGTTGATATTTGTGTGCGGATGCGCTTCACAGAGACAATATTTTATTCATGGTCTGCTGGACAAACACTTTGGAATCGTTCATGTGAAGAACAGTCAGACTACTGAGGATTTTTACTGACACATTTGGACACCAACCAGAGGCACAGTGCTTCAAATTAGCGGTTCTAAACGAGCTTTTTCAGCCAACGTGAGGCTTTCAAATTCAGGTGTCGAAACTGGGGTTCAAACACGGTTCAGGCTAAAGTTTCAAAACATTGTTAGGGTTTCAAACGAGGGTTTCAAGTCAGTTTGTTTGCGGTTTACTGTTTTTGTCTTTCTCACTTGGAGTCAAATGCGAGTCCTCCGCAAGGACATTTTTTTCCCAGCGAATGTCTGTTTTTAACTGACAAATGGTCGACATCCGGCACAGGCGAGGGGGAGGCCCATCGAGTGGGAGTGCGGGGGGAGCTCTCTTTTTTTTTTCTTTTTCCCACACTCCTACGCCCGTGGAGCACAAAGATGAAATGGTGATGATCATTCATGCACTTAGCTCAGCATTCACTCACTCGCGACGTATATTTCTCCAATGCACTCTCTCTCGGCACGCTCACTCAATCACCCCAGAACATTCTCTTCTCCATCAGCTATGCTGCAAATGTACTGATGGGGGTCACGTGACTGCGGCCTGATGCACTCTGCGATGGGGGAAAAACAAAATTGGCTAAAGAGTGTGTGTGAGAGAGAGTGAGATTGAGAGAGCGGTGGGAGACGGAGTAATATTTACAACAGCGGGAGAGAGTGTGAGAAAATGAGGGAGACAGATCGAGAGCTGGAGATGGGAAAAAAAAGTACGCGAATGGGAGAAGGGACAGAATAAGTGAGAGGGCAAGCAGAGGGAGAGTGAGAGACAGAGAGGAGGACAGGGAGAAAGAATGACATCTGTAGAAAGAAAAAGTGAGAGAAAGGGAGAGGGACAGAGGGGTGCAAATAGGGATAAAGAGAAGAAGGGAGTGGAACTGAGAGGTGGAAAGAAAGAAACTAAGAAAATGGAGAAACAAAGAGACAGAAAAAGCAAAAAAGAGAGAAGGAGTACTGGGAGAGAGAAAAAGTGAACAAGGTACCGGTAGATGGAGAGAAGGACAGACAGGTACAGTACAGGGAGGGACAACATTAAGAGGGTAGCGAGAAAAGAATGAGTGGGGAAAAGAGAGAAAGACAGCGGGTGGTCAAAGAGAGACATTAGTGAGACGTGTGTTTGCTGTGCTCCTCCACTCCACCAGGTGGCGCTTGGCATCACAATTAGACTCGAGCGCACAGGCAGAGAGACGTCCACCTCCCCTGTACCCAATCAGCCCCCCTCACACACTTTTTATTTTATTTTTCTTTCGAGTCCTTTTCACTTTGAAGAATCCACATCTCCGCCATGCCAGTGTCCCCGGCTTGACGCGCCTCCTCGTTGCAGTCTTGCTGGTGCTTGTGGTCTGCGCCAACCCGAGCCAGGGTACGCAGGACAACGACACCCGGGCACATGGAGACGAGGAGCACCAGCAAGGCAACAGCACGGCGCACCGAAAGGCTTTCCCGGTCCTGTCTTTCAACTACGAGTACGTCCGGAAGCCCTTCGAGATCTCGCTATGGATCCTACTTGCGCTGCTCATGAAACTCGGTGAGTGACTCTTTAAAAATGAGAGACTCTGGAGATGTGTTAAAATTTTTTTTTGCCGGGGTCTGTTTTCGTTCAAACATTTGAACAGGTGGAACAGCTGATAGGAGATTAGCAGCAGGGCCGTAGCTATAGATGTTGGAGTCCCTGCCCCCCCCCCCCATTGCCCACCCATTAACCAAAATGCGAAAATTATAGCGTTTTAACATTCGGTTTCATATGTAAAATAATTAGAATTGCTTGAAATAATTTTTATCACAAAATGTAGCAGGTGAAGAGTTTCCAGTATCTGTGTAGATTGCACACCACACCGTGTGGAGAAATCTCGTTTTGTACTAGTCGCTTGAGGTCCATGCTGACAGTTGACCCTGGTCTTATCTGCGCATCCAGCTGCTGTCGGAGAGGGCCGCTCCGACTTCCTGCTCTAATGCACTGCTTGATAGCAGTAAGTGCGCCGTGTACTGACTGAGTGGTGCGTCGATCAGAACGGGCGGAAGACGCCGGCTGCAACCTGGGGTCATGTGACTGACGAGCTGAGAGGCTTGCTCGGTACAAGGTGTTGCATACGTGACAATGTCTAAACCTCAAGACCCTTGTGATTTCCTGTACATGCCTCAAGACAGCGGCAAAGTGCTTTTTATCTGTTAGGCAAGGCTACGTGAAGCTTGAAGTTGATATCTTCAAAACGAGTGTTGTAAAATGTCTTTGCGTCCAGCGATACAAAGGAAGAACTTTTTGGCCTTAATTACTAAATGTATATTTGTCGCAAACACAACAGCGCTCATCACCAGAACAATATCATACCAACAGTTCAGCATGGCGGTGGCAGCAGCTTGCTTTGGGGCTGTTTTAAGATGTAATCTCAGCCTTAGTCCAGGTGGTTTGTTTCAAATAACGGTCACTGGTGGCACAAAACCTGCATGCCTCAAATAGAAAGCGGAAAACAATAGCAAACAAAAAGCCTACTAGAACAGCTGAACTTTTTTCTGGGGGGGGCGGTAAATCTTAGAGCCACTTAAATGATGGCAGGTGTGTACTATGAAGTAAATCTACCTGTAAATAAGTAACTAGCTATATACCTCAGTAAGTACAGCAAAGTAAGCAAAAAAAATGTCAGGAACAGCGTCTGCTAGAACATCTGAACTTTATTTCGGGTTCATCCGAGGCCCTTTGGATGATGGCAGGTCTGTGCTTACTCAAATTTAATGAATTTTAAAGTGATTGCTTTATTCCAACCACATCCACATCACAGTCATTGGGTGTGCGTCCTTTTGCAACCACATTATTTCAGCTGTTTACTTCAACTGAAGGCCGTAAATTTGCGGGTCCACTTTGAACCTCATTCCATGTCAGTGCCTTTGACGCAGAACACTTCCTGACCTTGACGTGTTTTTGGGTCATCAGGCTTCCACGTCATTCCCAGAGTGTCCCACGTAGTCCCCGAGAGCTGCCTGCTGATCTTCGTAGGGCTGCTGGTGGGCGGCGTCATCAAGGCCATCCGGCAGACGGCGCCCGTATTGGACACCGATCTCTTCTTCCTCTACCTGCTCCCGCCCATCATCCTGGACGCCGGCTACTTTCTCCCCATCCGACCATTCACTGAGAACCTGGGCACCATCCTGGTGTTCGCCGTGGTGGGCACCCTGTGGAACGCCTTTTTCGTGGGCGGTGCCATGTACGGCGTGTGCCAGCTGGAAGGGGGTCAACTGAGGGGCGTGGATCTGCTGTCCTGCCTGCTTTTCGGCTCCATCGTGTCAGCCGTGGACCCCGTGGCCGTGCTCGCCGTCTTCGAGGAGATCCATATTAACGAGCTGCTCTACATCCTGGTCTTCGGCGAGTCTCTGCTCAACGATGCTGTCACTGTGGTGAGAGCCCGCGGCGGCCATTTTGTTTTTACCAATGGCGAGTTGTACATTTGATACCCGGGCTTTCAATCGGGACTTCCCCGACTTGAATGTATTGAGGTTTGCATATTGCTACAATTGTGTCTTGCTCGTCCTAGCTCACTTCAACAAGATTTCAACCAACCAATCAGGTGACAGAAAAATGCTGACATCATTGGGGCCAGTATTGTAGCCCTTTGAGCAGGAATTTTAAATCTGATTGGTGAAAGAAGCATGCATTTACTAATACAGTTTCTTCCTCACTACTGATTATGACGGTCATGTGCCGATTAGATAGCCTTGGCAACCAACAGACGAAGGACTCTGTCACAGCTGCCCAGTAAGCTGCAGTAATATTTTTCATGCTTCGCAGAGGATAAAGAATATATGCCCTTTCGGTGTTGTATTAGTGTCCGTTCGTTCACCCTATGTTTTCAAATAAACGAGATAACTGGACTATATGACACCAATGCTATTTGCTAGCCTGTCTATATCATTTTAAATTGTTTGTTAGCATTAGGCTAAAAGGCTCATTTGTTTCTATTTTGTGCGCGCAGGTGCTGTATCACCTGTTTGAGGAGTTCTCCCACGCCGGCGTGGTGACGGTGGCCGACGCCCTGCTGGGCGGGCTGTGCTTCTTCGTGGTGTCGTGCGGCGGTATCCTGGTGGGCGCCATCTACGGGCTGCTGGGTGCCTTCACGTCGCGCTTCACATCACACACGCGCGTCATAGAGCCGCTCTTCGTCTTCCTCTACAGCTACATGGCCTACCTGTCGGCAGAGGTCTTCCACCTGTCGGGCATCATGTCGTGAGTTACGCACACATTTTAGGAGACCTGTTGAATTTTTTTTTTCATATTTTCGTGTGTCATATTGTCTCCAACAAATAAACGTGAAACATTTTTGACCTTTTTAATGACATAATTGTTGAGTTTTTACAACAATATTTATATATTTAAACATATTTATATCATTCAAATGAAGTACTTTTCATCTTAGATATTCTGTTGTCCGCCCTCCCCTGCTCCAGGCTGATTGCGTGCGGCGTGGTGATGCGTCCGTACGTGGAGGCCAACATCTCGCACAAGTCCTACACCACCGTCAAGTACTTCCTGAAGATGTGGAGCAGCGTGAGCGAGACCCTCATCTTCATCTTCCTCGGCGTCTCCACGGTGGCGGGACCCCACGCGTGGAACTGGACATTCGTCATCGTCACCGTGGTCCTCTGCCTCGTCTCCAGAGTGCTGGGTGAGAAAGACCGCGACATTTCCGCAACGTTTCAAGTGATCAAACACCAAGTTGGAAATGTATTATCATCTACGCCAAACGACACAATAATTATTTCATGCACTACTTGAGAGAACAAAGTGTTACGACTACTGTACAATCACTTCGATCTATCAGAAGTCAGTGCCAATCATGGTTTAAAATACTAATGTGAAGTTGAAAAATTTGCTGCTCTTCCTCCAATCTGACTCGTCTAGTCTCCATCTTGGATTTCAGGTGTAGTGGGCCTGACGTTTGTCATCAACAAGTTCCGCATTGTCAAACTGACCAAGAAGGATCAGTTCATCGTGGCCTATGGTGGCCTACGAGGCGCCATCGCCTTCTCGCTGGGTTTCCTGTTGACGGGCAACAAGATGAAAGACTTGTTTCTCACCGCCATCATCACCCTAATTTTTTTCACCGTCTTCGTGCAGGTAAGGATGGCAAAAACAAAAAAAAAAGTGTTTTTTGTAATCGTATTCCTCCACCTCAGTAAAAAACTGCGACATCCGTATAATTTGATTTTTGACTGCAGGGGATGACCATCAGGCCTCTCGTGGAACTATTGGAAGTAAAGAAGAAGAGGGAGTGTGACGGCTCCATCAACGAAGAGATTCACACACAGGTCAGATTTCTTGTTTTTGAGAAACAGCACCACCAAATGGCCGTTTTCGCAATTGCAGCCAGTCGCCCCCCTCCTCGGGTTCCGTTCCAGACCCACCCCGCAATAAGAGACATTGGTGATATAGAAATCCCCTATTGAAATAAATTCTAGGCATGATTTTATAGCATTTACTGCACTTTGGTGTTTTTACAGGTCTTTAAACACACTTTTAAAATAATACATACACATTAAAACATAATATATTGAGAGGGAGAGTAACGGAAAACATGAAAAAAAAATCCCATTTCAACAATGCATCAACATTCACATCCAAAAAGGTACATGTGGTCGCTTTGTGTAGACATAAAAAGCAGGATTGAAGGGGATCAGTAATTAGCAAAAACTAGGGTGAGCTGAAAGAAGGTACTTTAGGATAGGATAGTATAGGATACAACTTTATTGTCAAATCTGCTGTATACAGCACAGATGAAATTTCTTCCCTCTCAACATAAAACAAGAGGAGCTGGTGCGAGTGTCCGCGCCGCTATCAAAAGAAAAGTTAACCAAAAAAATGACAAAATAATACAAAACAACACATGAGACACAGAAAATCGTGCAATCTTAACCACTTTCCTGCATACACTTTGTTGTCTGAAGCAGTTATAGATGAAAGAGGAGCGAATCAAAGTGTCCTTTTCACCGGTGGATCAAAGACGTCATGCTGCAATGTGCACACGTCTGCTACAACGTCTGCTACAAGTTAAGCTTGAAAGCAACAAGAAGCAGTAGCATCCATTAACTTTGTGCTTCCAATCCCCTTCTGCAGTCAAATTTACAGAGACAAACAAAATACAGTGCTACCATCTAGAAGTCAACACTGGAATTACACCCAAAATGAACGGCCAGTAGAACTAAATAGTTTCAAACTGGACCAAAACATAAACACCCACTACTGTACACCCAAACGTTTGAAAACAAATAGTCAAGACGTCATATTTAATTCTGTCATTTAGTTTCTGGATCATCTCCTTGTGGGAATCGAGGACATCTGTGGACATTACGGACACCATCACTGGAAAGACAAGTATGACCTTTGAATCAAATGTCAAACAAAATTAATTCAGTTTTTCCCATATTTACATTTATTAAGGTTGATCTCTCATTCTTGTCGTTTATTGTTCTCCTTATCCTTATCCTTATCTTATTACTGCAACACGCTGGACACACTCTAATAAGTGATGAGCTCTTAACTCCGGTTTACTGTATTAATTTTGTTCAGGCTGAGCCGCTTCAACAAGGCCTACGTGAAGAAGTGGCTGATTGCGGGCGACCGCTCGACCGAGCCGCAGCTGCTCTCCTTCTACAACAAGATGGAGATGAAGCAGGCCATGATGATGGTCGAGAGCGGCGGCGGCGTCAGCATCTTCAAACCGCCCTCGATGGTGCCGTAAGTATTTGGCCAAAACGAGAGAAAAAACACTCGCTTGATCGCACAGGTAATTTGTCCGATCGAGTTGAAAAATATACAAATCGTGTAAATCAAAATGTGTTGTCACATTTCCTCCGATAATGGTGTGTTTTTATCGGATTTAAGTTTGGCCCGCTGATGTTTTTCTACCTCAGGAACATCGAACCCACAGCCCCATCCCGGCGCAAGACCGTCATCTCCAAAAGTCGCGAAATGGAAGTCCGAAAGATGTTGCACTCCAACATGCAGAAAAACAGACAACGGGTAGGCAGACCGGGCATGTTTTTCGTCCGTAGCGGACCAACATTTGACGCCCTCGCGGATTTTGTGTGTGTCGCCAGCTTCGTTCCTACAGCAGGCACGACCTGATGATGGACCCCTTTGAGGACGACGTGAGCGAGGTTCGCTTCAGGAAGCAACGAGTTGAGATGGAAAGGAGGGTGAGCACTCACTAACGCTTGTTGACCCCTTTCGTGCACCCTGTAACTTAATAACCTGATAATCTGTCCACTGTTGTGACCGCTGAAAAGCTCCATAGCGAACTGCATAAAGTGGTCAAATTTTCCATTTTGCTTTGCATTGCACAGATGAGCCACTATCTGACCGTGCCGGCAAAACGGCCGGAGCCACCTCCCTCAGTGAGACGGGTCGCATTCGAGCCAGGTCAGTGGCACCGCCCCCATTTTCCCCGTTTTTTTTTTTTGTTTTTTTTTTTAGCTCGCAACGTGAATGCGGGAGGCGTAGTCACGCCCAAAGTACACCCTCTTTGCAGCACACAGAGTTTACACGTATGATGACGGCGAGGGCACCCCAGTGGAGGCCCGCCGGAACGCCTCCAACCCCGTCAGCCTGCTGAACGAATCCGGACGCGGGTTCCAAGAGGAGGAGGAGGAGGAGAAGGAGGAGGAGCAGTTCAAAGCATTGCGCCGTCTCAGTGACCCCGGTCCAAAGTCGTAGCTCAAGAGATTTTTATTCATTTTGTGGGCGATTACTGTACATGAGTGTGTACGTTTTTGGGGGGAAATTATTATTATTATTTATTTATTTTGCGCTTGTTTGGAATTGCTAGAGACGCCAAATGGGTGGAGTTTACCCTTGAAAGCACATGCGTAGTGTGGCCACCAAAAAATGCCTGTGTTGAAAAACTTCATTTATACATATTTATAATCTGGTAAATGTTTTTTTTTTCCTCAGGGACTGTTGAAATGAGACTTTTTTGTTTTGTATGTACACATTAAAAAAAAAAAGTGTTGCAAACATTCCTCCAGTTAGGTCAGCTCTTTAGCATTCACAATGAATTTTTGCAGAAGTTGCAAATTTTGTTAAACTGTTTACTCATCCCAGCCGGCAAGGATGTATATCAGTATCTTGCATATCTGCCACTGCCTGAGCTAAAACTGCCTGCATGTTTGCCTTAAAAGAATGTTTAGGTATGTGCTGCCAAGAGTATTTTTATATTTTCAGCCGCAAAACGTATTGATTGGAGACTTGTTTCAGGATTTGAGTGAAAATAAAGGTTTGTACATGAGAATGTGATTTTTGTTCTTATTTTAATATAAAGGTTTGTGACATTTTTCAATGTTGAGAAATTTGAAACATTTCTAAACATTAATGTCCACTGTAATAAGCGCTGTTCCTGAAAGGGTTAAAATTTGCTGTTGACCAGTGTTATTTTTTTATTTGTAAAATATTACATATTTTAAAATTAAAAAAAAAAAAAAGAAATTGTTCTGCCTTCCCTTGTGACTGTGCATCGGCGGAACAACAGGGAGTTTCAACTCCCTAACATGCCAACCAGCAACCCAACAAGCCACAAACACGACGCGACACCAGCAGGAGCAGACATGGACTTCAGCGGCACCTGGAAAGTGTATTTGGAGCAAAACCTGGAGGAGTTCATGAAGGCAATGGGTAAAACGCGAGTATCTCTCCTTTAAAAAAACAAAAAAAAATCCAATGATGCAAACTAATGGCCGTGTGTTGAAGGTGCGCCCCAAATGGTCATCAAGATGCGCAAGGATGTCAAGCCACTGATTGTGTTCGAGCAGAAGGGCGACGCTTGGACTTACACGTTTAAGACCCCCAAATTTACCAAGACGCACTCCTTCTGCATCGGCAAGGAGACGGAAATTACTTCGGTGGACGGCAGGAAGTTCAAAGTAAGCGCAGAACTCATCTTTTACTGTTGTGTTTGGAGCGTCACGTTGTGGCTTTTCTAGTGCGTTGTCAGGGAGGAGAACGGGAAGCTGATTACCGAGGCTGACAAATTCACCTCTGTACGAGAAATCCAAGGGGAGGACATGGTTGAGGTCAGTCAAAAACACTAACATATTGAATGACATAAAAACATGAAAATTTGTTTTTACCATTTTTTTTTTTTTTGCATCAGTTCGCGAGATAATGGGCTGCTCCTTCTGGTGTGTGCCACTTGGCCACCAGAGGGCAGTGTAATATAGATACAGTATACAGTACATAGTAATAGTACAGTGGTTGTGAATGTTTGCATTGCAATGAAGAAAAAGCCTCGTCTTTTGATTGAGAACATCTCAAAAGCTCTTTTCCCCCCCACAGACGGTCACAACTGGTTCTGTGACTTACGTCTGCAGAAGCAAGCGAGTGTGACGTCATCATTCATCAGCAACCACCAGAATTAAAAGGAAGACATTAATACGATTAAACATGGATCATTAAACAGTTTGTACGTTCCTAATTATTGAATCCATAACTTGACGCTCTTCTCAGTCCATCATCATCAATCAGCTAATTTAGGAAAATGTCACTGTGGACGAGAAGAAACAAGAGAACATGTAAGAATATGTGGTCTGGAATATGCCCTGTAAAGAGGAATCTTTTGGGGAAAACAACAATATTGCAAACCTACAAATGTCATTTTAAAATTTTGTTTTAAAGCAGCTGATCTCGTGAGTAGAATATGAGAAAATGTTTATACACCAGCAGAGAGCGCTGTGCTATTCGCTAGCCGCCATTAAAAACTAACAGAAGTTAAGACTAGTGTCCCTAGGGGGGCGCTGCGGTACGCCTCAAACGCATTAAAGCAGCAGAGGTAGCGGCGAAGAAGAGGAGGAACACATTTTTGGCTCCACATTTAATAAAAGAGGAGCACGGTTTTTTTTTGTTGTTGTTGTTTGCAAGTTGCAAAGCTTACACTCGAAACAGAAGCTATGGCTCGCTACATGCGCCCGCCGAACTCGTCCTTGTTCGTCAGAAACATTTCTGACGAGTCCAGGTGAGTTTGAATTTCGGCGTCTTTTCCGCAAATCGGTGCTCCACGTTTAACTGTTGAAAGCTAACGTAGCTCAGCAGCGAGCTAACGCAGGCCCGCGCTCTGCAATGGAGCCTCGCCTTCGCCAATCTTGAGAATGATACTTTGTTTCAAAAAATCAAATTAATACGACGATATTCGTTTTTGTAGAATAAGGTGTGTGGGCATCATTTTTAAATGTATAAATAGTAGCGAACGTTAACTGGCGTCCATGTTACGCTTGCGGACGTGGAAATATGTCACGTTGTGTTGCAGATTCTAAGATTCGTCACGAACTATCCTGCAAAGATTCGCCCGCCCCTAAAATGTGGAATTATAACAGTGATTCCCATGTGTAACAAGCAATATTATTCATTTTACAAAAATATGCAATGTGCCCACAGTCTGGTTTACGTTTATTTCCTCACTTGCCGTTTGTGAATTACTTGTGCCATTTAGAGGCAAAAAGTCAACCTACTCATTTTCTTCACTTGCCTTTGTCATACGTCTGTGTAATTAAAGAATCCTCGGGGACACCCTGTAAATTGCACAGCTGTTGTTTTACGCTGATAACCTTTTTTTTCTTCTTTAAACGGGCCAGTTCACCCAAAATCAACATAATGGGTATTTAAAATTGATCGAGGTAAGTAGGGCTGGGCGATATGGCCTCAGAGAAAAGCCGGGCAAAATCTCTGCTTGGCAGCGGCCTTTTTTCCCCCCCACAAGGCTATCGATATCCAAGTTAACTGTTTACATGAGCTCATATCTGTACACTGCGATTAGCTGACACCCACATCACTCACGAGGCCGGTCCCAGCGTTTTAAAGCCATAGACATTGAGTCAAAGATGCTCCAGTAGAAAGTGGGGACCTTAACCCCAAATGTCTAAAAAGATGAATCGCCCACTCCTACACGTACGTTTATTGACCTAATTGTGGTGAACTGGCCCTTTTCAGTTCACTCACCGTTCGCACATGCTGCCCAGTTGAGTTACACTTGTATATTTACGGTGTTCAGGCCTGAGGATTTGCGGCGTGAGTTTGGCCGCTATGGGCCAGTAGTAGATGTCTACATCCCACTTGACTTCTATACACGTCAACCAAGAGGATTTGCATACATTCAATATCCTTTCCCAAAACTGTTGCTGTGCTCATGCCTAACCAATAACATTGCTTCCCTTAGCAGCAGAGCCGATTTGTGGTTTGTGATGTTTTAATTTCTTTGTGCCGATTGACCTATCTAACAGTGATTATTTTTCTTGTTATCGCTTCAGAAAATGTAAAAGCATCCCCTTGTGGAAGCGGCCACACAAAGAGTTACAAAGACCCGTGTAGCGTAGCTGTAAAGAGACAAGGCACAGACCAAAGGGAGGGAAAAGGTTGGGAGGAAGTAAAGCATGAAGAGGAAAAAGGTGTCGGAGCCAAAGCTCGTCAGTGGCACAGAGCGGGCTAAAGAAAAGAAAGTTTTAAAGAGTCAAGCAGGAAGCCCGGCCCAAGCCGCCCGCTCTATGTGGGAATCGATTAAAGAGTGTAAAGATCAAGATGAAGTCAAGCAAAAAGGTAACAAGTCGGAATAATTTTGTATCCTCTCCTGACACGTTTTCCTACAAATCAGCTTTGACAAGCAACTTAATTTCAACTCACTGAATCAGCTGTTCATGTCTTTTGATTGTCACCTGTCACCATTGTTTAGAAAAAAAAAATACCCTACTGTGTGTCATGTGTGCTTCATGTATTAAGGCCACATCAATTCAACCTCACCAAACTGAAGCATGACTAAATGGAGTCCAATATCTGTGCAAAGTGTGTGAATTTGTGTGGCCTCACACCCTTCTTCTGAAAGGAGTTTGCAAAGAAAGGAGAGAGAGAGAGAAAAAATAAAAAGCCTTAACCGCTCAGCATGTTTGAGGATGTGCGCGACGCAGAGGACGCTCTTCACAGCCTGGACAGGAAGTGGGTATGCGGCCGCCAGATCGAGATCCAGTTCGCCCAGGGAGACCGAAAGAGTGAGTGGATGATTCATTTTCTCGGGAGTTGAACAGATGATTTGAATTTCGATTGATTGTCAAATGTATATCAATGATAGAATACAGAACCTTGCTCGATGTAAAGTTGTGCCGACTCTTTGGAATTTCAACCTCTCAGCGCCCAACCAGATGAAGACGAAGGAGCGGCGCTCCCCGTCGCGCTCGTCCCGCTACGACGACTACGACCGCGACCGCCGCCGCCGACGCC